CCTTTCTTGGGTTTTCAGGACTACAGTTTTGATGTTTCTTACTGCTGCCTTGTTTTGTGCGACGCTGGCGGAGCCGCTCTGGCTTGCATTCGGGGTGGACATTACATCTGCCCCGTTTCGTACGCTTTCTTGTGTTTTGTTTCACCTCCGGCCTACTCATGCGTCGCCTAAGCCATCCTGGTCCTTGTTCAGCGTGCCTCCTTATCTTCTCCTCAGTTTGTGGTAGCCGCTTCAGTTCAGGTTTCTGCTCTTTATACTGGTGGTAGGTTTGTACATTTGCAGCCTTTCTCTGTCCTACTGGCAACGGTCGAGACAGCAGCTTTTTGGAGGGGTTCTTGGGTTATTGATGCTTAATTGGTTCGGCCGGGGGTGTATCCTGTATTGGGTTAGGCACCCAGAAAGGTAGGCATAACAAAACAAACCCCACATGGTAAAAAACTAAAACAAAAAAACGAACAGAGAGGTAGAAACTCCCTACAATCCCAAGGAAACAAGCAAACATCACACTTTACTGCCGCGCCGATCGTCTGCACAGCCCTCCCCGCCCCAAGAGGGGAAGGGGGGAGCCCCGGACCTACCGCGCCGGCTGCCAAGCTTCATTTCGTAAGCTAATGTCAACCGGGATAGACGCTTCTCTGGCCTCAGTTTCCTAGGCGGTGTTTGCCTTGTGTGGCGTTCACTGCCGTGTGTTGTGTTGTGCGGTGGCCAGGAGTACCTCATCAGTGCTGGGGCTGCATGCGCTTAGTGGCTGACTTCCCTAAGCGCCCTGTGAGTAATGACCCTGCGTAACAGGGTTATCTTCCCTGGGGCATTCAGGAACCATTCCCATAGAAGTTCTTGCTGCTCGGCATTTACCTCGCCCTTTGGGCCAGCTGGGGCTTGGGGCCCTTGTTTGGCCCTGGGTAGGGATTCATTCCTGCTGTTCGTGGATTGGCCAGTCGTCACCAACTCATGTTTCGTTGGCTGTCCGGGGTGTGTCCTGCATCCTGGTGGACAGCTGTCTTGGTTCATTCCTCTGTTCGCGGATTGGCCAGTCGTCGCTGACTCGTTTTGTTGGCTCTGTCGGACGTATGGACTCCTGGCCATGGACGTCTTCGAGTCGGCGTGGTCTAGGCGTCGCCCATTTTATATGACACCCTTACCCGCCTGCGAGGCGTTCACGGTGGATGCTTTTCGGCAGGACTGGTCGAGGTGGGGGTACCTGTTCCTCTTCTACCGGTCCAGCTGTTGCTTCGGGTTCTGGCTCGGTTGCAGCCCATTCCCACGAGAGTAGTCCTTATGGTTCCTTGGTGGCCGGCACAACTTTATTTTCAGACGCTGCTTGATAGGTGTCTGAACCCGGGGCGTTTTCCCGCGGCTCCGCCTCTTTTGGCAGGTCGGATCGGTCCTGTACATGACTGGTTCGGCCTTCTCCTCGGCTCTTCGCGTCTGGTATTTTGAGGCGGGTATCACCATCTCTGTGGTGATCAGGTGGCTTTGTTGATGGTGTCCCACCTGCGAGCTTCATCTTGGTGACAGTATGACGTTCCTGGTGTTTCTATGCATTTTTTCTTGCTCTTCGTAAGTTGTCTTCTCTTTCACATCAGGTTGTCTTGTCCTTTCTTGGATTTTCAGGTCTCCAGTTATTTGATGTTTCTTACTGTCGCCTCATTTTGTGCGGCGCTGGCGGAGCCGTTCCAGCTTGCGTTCGGGGTGGAAGTCACATCTGCCCCGTTTCGTACGCTTTCTCGTGTTTTGTTTCACCTCCGGCCTGCTCATGCGTCGCCTGAGCCATCCTGGTCCTTGATCAGGGTGCCTTCTTATCTTCTCAGTTTGTGGTAGCCCCTTCGGTTCAGGTTTCTGCTCTTTGGTACTGGTGGTAGGTTTGTACGTTTGCAGCCTTTCTCCGTCCTTCTGGCGACGGTCAAGACGGCTGTTTTCCGGAGGGGTTCTTGGGTTATTGATGCTTAATTGGTTTGGCCGGGGGTGCATCCTGTGTTGTCCGGTTGCGTTTTTTGCCGTTACCTGCGTACCGTGTCTGGGGATGCACTTTGGGTTGATCCGGTTCCCCTTGTTCCCTGTTTCAAGGCTCGGGTCTCCCAGGTCGTCCGCAGAGTTTTTCAGTCTTCCAGCCTGCGGTCTGTCCTTGCGCCCTTGGTGTTCGGACATTTGCAGCTTTTGCTGCTGTGCTGGTGATGTCTAGGGCTTATTTCGGGTGCAGGGATTTGAGGGTCGCACAGGTTCTTGGCTGCCCATTCTTTATGCGCGTCTCCTGTGCGTTCTTGTTGCCTTGGGTCGCAGGTTGCTGCCTGTTGTTTCGGCTTCGTGTTGAGGAATTTGTGGCGGCCGCCTCCCGGGTTAGCCCTTTCTTTTCCTTCTCTTTGGGTATGAAGCTCCAGGGAGCCATAGGGGCTCCCCACAGAAAACTAGGGTTGAATGTAATGAAACGCCATTTTCTGGGTGAGCCCCGGAGGCTCCCTGGCAACCCTCCCTCCCACCGGTCGGCAGTTTTTCGTGTTGGTTGAAGCTTAGCTTCCAAACTGAAGCTAGGCAGCCAATGCGGTAGGTTCGGGGCTCCCCCTCCACCTCCCGGGGCAGGGAGGGCTGCGCGGACGATCGGCACGGCAGTAAAGTGTGATGTTTGCTTGTTTCCTTAGGATTGTAGGGAGTTTCTACCTCTCTGTTCGTTTTTTTGTTTTAGTTTTTTGCCATGTGGGGTTTGTTTTGTTATGCCTACCTTTCTGGGTGCCTAACCCCGGTTGATTGCAGATAAGGAAAACCCCAACCACAAGGGTTTTTTCCAGGGCCATTACTCCCTGAAACCTCTCTGAAGGGGCCAGGTTCTGGCACTGGTCCCTGGTAGGTCTGAACTCCTTAGCTAATGTCCCGGTCTAATATACATTAGCTCGATAAGCTCCAGGGAGCCTCCGGGGCTCACCCAGAAAATGGCGTTTCATTACATTCAACGCTGGTTTTTTGCCCCTCCTTTCGGATGACTACTGTCCCAGGTCCGGCTTCTGTTGGAGCCGGGCGCTTGGATGGTGTCGCTGGACCTCAAGGACATGTATTGGCACATCCCTATTCATTCGCGTTTCAGAGACTGGCTCGGTTTTGTTGTGGGGCATTTCAGAGTTACCACTTTCGTTGTCTCCTGTTTGGGTTGAACCTGGCATCTCGTTTGTTCACACAAATTACCCGGTCGTAGTAACCCATCTGCATCAGTTAGGTGTTCGGGTGTTCCCTTACCTTGACATCTGGCTGGGTTAGGCTCTTAAGTCGGTCCACGTGTCTGCTCACCAGTGGTTTGGTGCTTTACCAGCTAGCCAGGTTTGGGTTACTGATGAACTGGCGGAAGTCCTATCTGGTTCCCTCCCAGGTTCGGACCTGGTTGGGTCTTGTGTGGGACTCTCGGACCGCTTCCTTCTCTCTTCCTCCGGAGTCTCTCCTTCGGCTGCGGTCCCATATGCGCTTTTTTCTGGGGGCTTCTGGGTCACCCGGCAGCTGCTCGAGGGTCTGCGAGGGAGCCTGAACTTTGCAATGATGGTCTACCCGCAGGGGCAGGTTTTGCTTCATCGGCAGTTCTGGTTCCTTCGGGAATGTCCCTTCCGTTTCTCTTGCAATCGCTGGGTTCGACCCCTTTTCGTCAGCTGCTGCATCGCTGTGCTGCTGCGCCACAGCTTCTGTGTCTGGGGATGCGCTTTGGGTTGATTCTGTTTCCCATCTTCCCTGTTTGCGGGTACAGGTCTTTCAGGTCGTCCGCAGGGTTATTAAGTTTAGCCAGCCTGCCGTCTCTCCCTGTGCCCATGACGTTCGCAAGTTCGCTGCTCTTGCTGTCGTCTTTGGTAACATGTCCTGGGCTGACATTTGAGCACAGGGTTTTTGGCGGTCGAACAGGGTCCTGGGCCGACATTCGGGCATGGGGTTTTTGGTGGTCAAACAGGATCCTGGCTGCATGCTACCTCATAAATGTTCCTGGGCCTAATCAGGCCTGTGTCGCTTTGGGTCGGCGGCTGCAGCCTGTCTCGACTTTGAGTTGAGATGTGGAGAACCGACCACCTCCCTGGTAAGTCCCCTTCTTTACTTTAGTCTTTGGTGAAGTAGCTCCAGGGAACCGTAGGGGCTTTCCCCAGCAAACCAGCATTGAATGTAATGAAACGCCATTTTCTGCGCGAGTCCTGGAGGCTTCCCGGCAACCCTCCCTCCCTCCCTCTAATGGGCAGTTTTTGCGTATTTTGATATCCAGCCTCGGAACTACAGTGTGGATCGCCAGCGCGGGGGTCTGGGGCTACCTCTTCCCCTCTTCGAGAGAGGGGAAAAGCTTTGCAGACATGTGGTGTGGCTCGTGTGATGTCATGCTCGTTTCCTCGTTTTCAATTGGAGAGTTCTGTCCACTTGTTTCATTATTTTCATTGGTTTCACCAGAATAGGGCTTTGTTTTGAGACACTTACCTTTCTGGGTCCCTGTCCCGGTCGATGGCAGATATAAAATGCTCCAAAATCACATGTGTATTTCTATGGGCCATTGCTCCTTGTGCTTCTCTGAGGGGGCCAGGTTCTGGCCGTGGTCCCCAGTAGGCCTAGAACACCACCCACATTGACTGATGCCAAAAGTTAGGACTATCCTATCAGCCTGGATAGCTCCAAGGAGCCTCTGGGACTCGCCCAGAAAATGGTGTTTCATTATATTCAACGCTTGATTTTTTGCCAGGACATGGGATTAATGCAACTTCGTTCCCAGTTGCCTCTACTCTCAGAGGCCCTTGTGGCTCCATGATAACTGATTCTGCCTCCCTTCCTTAACCCCTGCCCCCCTTAACACCCTTCTCCCGCCTGCCGCCTCCTTCCCCTTACACCCACTGCCTCCCTCCGAGCCCCTTCCTCCCTCCCTCTACTCTTCCTCTTCTGTATCATACTGTATTTGATGAGCTTTACAATTGTTATAATGCATAAAGTAATATGCCACTTTGATGAACAAACTTAAAAAATTTGATAATTTAAAATGTCTTGTTATTTAATTGTAGGTTTCATCTTACCATGTGTCCCTGGCTGCCAGAGTATCCGAGACATCGGACACGGAGTCTGATGAGCACACACATGAGGTTCCTTCACTTTCATCTGATTTTGGATTAGACCAGATGCTAGGTATACAAAATTCTTTGTTTCTCATTTTGTTATTATTTATCATAATTTTTTTTCTATACGAGAATTTTCAATAAATTGTGTTTTAAGTGACTGGTACATTAATAATAAGTCTCCAACATGCTTATTCTTTTGGTAAAGTATAAAAATAATGAAGATAATGCTGTATAATAGTATTAGTGAAACCTCAAATAACGAATTTAATTCGTTCCGGCTCAGTGGTTGTCATGTGAAACTGACGTCATTCAAAACAAAGTTCTCTATTGAAAATAATGTAAATAGAAATAATTCGTTCCAGCCCCCAAAACAACAATATGACATTATACACTGGTAATATGATACTGTACATGTACGATAAATGTTTTGTTTGCTTGTTCCCATTTTTACATTCACTTTACCTTATGAAGAGACGTTGCTGGCTTGAGGGAGATGATCATGAGGTGGGAAGGAGGAGAGGGGTTACGGCGTGGAGGGAGACTCAACCTGTGGGTCAGGCGGGCTCTCTATTTTTCGGAATTTAATCCCACTGGGACTGGGTTGTGATTCACTATCACTTGCACGTCTTTTCTCACCCTTTCCACAAACAGTATCTAGTGCCACTTGGTGTTGTCTACATTTTAGGATGTCCCTAAACCAAGACAGCACATTGTCGTTAACCCTTAAACTGCATAACACGTCATATGATGTGTTGAATAACTTGGAATAAATTGCGCATCACGTCATATTACGTGTTGGAGTACCACGCAAGATTTGAACGGCCAGCGAGGTAGGGGAGGCCCCCATATACTGCCCAGGGACTATAGTAAACAACCGCCATTTTTTTTAAATCCAGCTCATGCTACCAACACGTGGGAGGCCTCAATTACCCAGCGGTCACCATGGCAAGCACGGCCGAACGCCCTGGAGGCGTTCGACCTGGAGGCGAATCACCACGCAATTACTTACCCAAGAGCAAATAACTAGTGAATTATTTTCTGAGGGTGAGGAAAGTGATTTTGATGAGTCTGACAATGATAAGAACTATACCCAATTTGACCAGACCACACACTAGAAATTGAAGGGACGACGACGTTTCGTCTCGTCTGCATTGTTTCGTCTGCATTGTTAGAGTCTGCAGACACTAACAATGCTCTCTTCTGCCATGTGAGGGATTCTAATCATCCCATTAATAGGTCTTCCTCCAAAATAATCTTTCCTGCCTCTACTCTACACAGACGCCGTCTTGTAGAATCAGCTCTTATACTCTTATACACAATGTACCCAACATGAACTTGAGTCCTGGCTTTGTTGCTGTGGACTCTTCCCTTTCACAGTATATACTCAAATGCTCTAATCTTTCTAACAAACGTGACTTAACATAAGCTTTCCCCCTTCCATTTCTTTCTTTCTCTTTCCTTTTCTTTCTCTCTTCTCCCTTTTTCTGTTCATTGTCTTCTCCTACGCTCCCATGCTATCCTCTTCTTTTTTTTCCCCCATTACTATCTCCTTCGGTGGTTATAATAGGAGCTGCCTCGTATGGGCCAATAGGCCTGCTGCAGTTCTCATTACTACTATCCCCTACACCTTACTTTCCTCCTCAGCTCTCTTGCCTATTTATTGCCTGTCCCTACCTCCTCATCACAATCGACTTGAGAATGGTCCAGGACGGACCGAAACGTCGTCGTCCCTTCAATTTCTAGTGTGTGGTCTGGTCAACACACTTCAGCCACGTTATTGTGACTCATCGCCTGCATATACCCAATTGACCGATGATAGTAGCACAGACAGTGAAAACGAGATACAGCCTCCTCCCATGGCGAGGCCTACACGCTCACTCGTGCCACCTCGTCCAGTGTCTACTCCAACCCACCCACGACCACACAGTTCCTGTGCTTATTTAGAGTATGATGATATATTGGGCGACGAGTAAGAGGAAGGTGACTCATTTTCTGGTTTTAGTGAAGGGATTCAGAGCATAGTGTTACCGAGCCTGTTGCTAGTACCAATGGTGTGACCGGGTGAGAATTTGTCGCAACAGCAGCGTCTCGCCCAGCCAAGCACCACCGCATGGCACCACATGAGGAACCAAGACCCTCATGTTCACGTGCTTTCACCCCATGTGCACGTATTGGCCGTACTTTGTGTAGACGGGCTTCACCTCCTGGTCCACGGTGTGCATCGCTTCCTCGCCGTCGTGCCCCTGTTGCGTCTCACAGGACACCAGGTGTACTTGTGTGGAGTGATGGGGACGATTTTATTCCTCCAATTCCTGCCTTTGACAATAAAGATGTTTGGATTACAGACCTTTTCCAACATAATGGTGGGGACATGAGTAAAATTAAATATTTTATAGCATTTTATGATGAGTCGCTGATGGAATATATTGTACACCAAATGAACCTTCATGTGTCTCATCTCATTGGAAAAGAGATTATAGAATATTCATGATTGCAGCAGTGGAAAAAAACAACTGTAGGTGAGATGAATGTATTTTTAGCAATATGTATGTTGATGAAGCATTGTGTCAAACATGCTATCACTGATTAGTGGAGCAAAGACCAGACTATTCCAACACCTTTCTTCGGGAAATATGTGTCCCAAGGCAGGTTTCAGATACTCCTCAGGTGTCTACATTTTGCAAGTAATAAGGACTGGACAGAGGATGATAGACTTTGGCGAGTCAGGCACTATATGAATGAAGTGATTGGAAAGTTCAGAGGTTTCTACGAACCAGCAAAGACCCTAGTGATTGATGAATCCTTTGTGCTTTTTAAAGGACGTGTTGCATTCAAGCATTATATTCCCTTCAAACACTACAGATTTGGATTGTAATTCTTTGTTCTTTATGACTGTGAAACAGGTTACATGTTACACATGATTCTGTATTCTGCTAGCGATGTTGACATTCCCGGAAACGACCAACATGGTTTCTTAGGTAGTGTGTTGAAGTCACTGATGGCACCATGGATGAACAAGGGCCACATTTTGTACATGGATAACTACTATACAAGTCCCTTTGCTAGCTAGGTTTTTGATTGAAAATAGAACTGGATTGGTTGGCACAGTAAAGCCAAGAAGAAGGGAAATGCCAGTGTTTGAAAATAAACTTAAAGTTGGTGACTGCCAGCTAAGAAAATGTGATCAAATATTCTCAGTTAGGTGGAAGGACAAGAGAGAAGTGAACTTGCTGATAACCGTTCATGATGGTACAATGGTGAACAGTGGCAAGATGAAAAAAGTGTTTTCAGTGGGGAGCTCCTACGGCTCCCTGGAGCTTATCGGGCTAATGTATGTTATATTAGACCGGGACATTAGCTAAGGAGTTCAGATCACCAGGAACCAGTGCCAGAACCTGGCCCCTTCAGAGAGGTTTCAGGGAGCAATGGCCCTGGAAAACCCCCTTGTGGTTGGTGTTTTCCTTGTCTGCAATCGACCAGGGTTAGGCACCCAGAAAGGTAGGCATAACAAAACAAACCCCACACGGTAAAAAAACTAAAACAAAAAAACGAACAGAGAGGTAGAAACTCCCTACAATCCCAAGGAAACAAGCAAACAAGCAAACATCACTCTTTATTGCTGCGCCGATCATCCGCGCAGCCCTCCCCTCCCGAGAGTGGGAGGGGGGAGCCCCAGACCTACCGCGCCGGTTGCCAAGCTTCAGTTCGTAAGCTAATGTCAACCGGGATAGATGCTTCTCTGGCCTCAGTTTCCTAGGCGGTGTTTGCCTTGTGTGGCGTTCACTGCCTTGTGTTGTGTTGTGCGGTGGCCAGGAGTACTTCATCAGTGCCGGGGCTGCATGTGCTTAGTGGCTTACTTCCCTAAGCGCCCTGTGAGTACTGCCCTTGCGTAACAGGGTTATCTTCCCTGGGGCGTTCAGGAACCATTCCCGTAGAGGTTCTTGCTGCTCGGCATTTGCCTCGCCCTTGGGGCCAGCTGGGGCTTGAGGTCCTTGTTTGGCCCTGGGTAGGGACTGGTATTGTGCTGGTTACGGCGTCAAGGTGTTGCGCGACCTGCCACTTAAGTGGCGACCGGTTCCTGTTGCCTCTGGAGATGTGTAATTTTTGTTTTTTTTTTTTTTTTTTTTTTTTTTTTTCCAATTGCCTGGTGGGGGTCTGCCCAGTGTGACTATAGTTCCACTGGTAGTGTTTGGTAGCCCTCTGCTAGGCCCCTGTGATTGTACATGTCACAGGGGTTTTCAGTACTATCCTCTACCCTCTTGTTATTCTTGGATTTCTTAACCGATTAGCAACACCTTGCCGGGGCTTCCCGTAGCAGTCGCCCTACAGGCCCTGGAAACCCCTGTCTGGGCTTGGTGGACCATTGAATGTGTCTTCCTGGTTCTAACCCGTCTTGTACGGGATCGTTGGTTGCTGTGCACTTGTCTCCGGGTGACAGTCGCCACTTTTACCTCCGTCATGCTGCCTGTTGGGTCACTGACACCTTGACCCGGAGTCTTGCAAGAAATATTCTCTGCTTGTTCTCCAGTACTCTCCTGATGTTATTACTGTTCAGAGCACAGGCGGCATCCATGTTGCAAGCTAGGTTAGGTTGCTGCAACACGCAAGGTTGGTTTCCCACTCGGATGCCCCGAGGCCGCCCCGTTTTGGTTAGATGCTGTTCGCTCCTTTCCCTCCCTGTTCCCGGCTCCGGACCGTCTGTGGGTTTCGGGGGTCGGGGCGGGGTTTACCTTTTCTGTAGGGAGCCCCTGCGGCTCCCTGGAGCTTATCAGGCTAATGTATGTTATATTAGACCGGGACATTAGCTAAGGAGTTCAGACCTACCAGGGACCAGCGCCAGAACCTGGCCCCTTCAGAAAGGTTTCAGGGAGCAATGGCCCTGGAAACCATGTCCCCCCTTGTGGTTGGGGTTTTCCTTATCTGCCATCGACCAGGGTTAGGCATCCAGAAAGGTAGGCATAACAAAACAAACCCCACATGGTAAAAAAACTAAAACAAAAACCGAACATAGAGGTAGAAACTCCCCACAATCACAAGGAAACAAGCAAACACAAACATCACACTTTA